AACACTTCTGCCATGAGCGGTCAAGAGGTGAGGATTTTGGAGGAAACAATAATAACTTTCTTAATCTATGAAATCAAGAATACATTTTCTTATAGATGTTGTATGGCTTTTAATGAATATAATTTATATTATGTTGAAAAAAGGTTTTTTTTTTTTTTTACTTAAATTGCACAATAAAAAATATTGTTTTCCTACCACTTTACTCTCTCCAATTTGCATTTCATATAACCCAAATTCAAAACCTTTTACTTTGAATGAAAGAAAATTATCATTGATTTACTTAAAACAAGATGCATATTAATTAGGGGCAAACCCCCAAATCCACCCCTCAAGAATGGGGTAGTGATAATTTACCCCCAAAAAAAATTTTTTTGATAGTAAAAAATTTTAAGTTAAGTTAGTTAGTATTTGTTTTTTGGAAGAGTCGGGCTCATCTCATCATCAACATGCATTGTATCTGCTACCCACAATAGGCAACGTGACCACCACTGGACCACATGAGAGATTGCCCGTTTACCTTCAAATTAAATGTAAAGCCAAATTTCCCCACAAACTAATTAAGTTAAATAAATGATCCTAGATTCAACTCTGCAATCATATGATATCAACTTTTCCAATAATTTTTTACATATACGACATCTATATATGTCTTGACAATAACGGAAATTAATGTTCCATGATGTTAGTAGTTAAATTTAAAATAACTTATTCAACCTAATTAGTTAGAGGGATAATTTGTCCCAATATTTAGTTTATGAGTGAATTTGACTCCACCCCTTCATTAAAAGGTTAGATCTGAGGTTTCAGCGTCGCTTAACACACTATTTGAAAAGAGGAACATACAGAAGATTTAGCTCAAAAAGGCACGTTTACTTAACCTATGACAGAAATTGGAGTAAAATTTTAGTTTGTTATCAATTTTGAGCTCAAACTTTGGTGTTCAATGCAATGCGTTGAAATTAAGTCTGCGTGAATTCCTTTTTGAGCCAAGGTCGAGTTTGCAAAAAAGCAAGTTCGTTTTCAGGCTGAGCACCGTAGTTCCTTGACTCATTGACACCCTTAACATTGTGCAAAGATAGAGGGATTTTGCTGGATGGGCATAGAATAAAATACAATTAGTGCACATGCAACTTTACAGTTAAGAACATCAATACCAAAATCAGCAATACCTTTGTGAGGGAAATTGATTTTTCCCATTGAATAATGTCTCTTTGCTCGCTTTTCTACCACTCCAGTCATGTGAGTCATAGGGGGATGGTTCTTCCTTATCCCCCTTAATTTTAGCTTTCTCCTGTTTTTCCATTCTCTTTCTCCCTCTGACTTGAGAGAGATAGAAAAAATTAAAGAGGAAAAAAAAAGGAAAAAAATACTTGCACTCTTCAAGAGACTACTCCAGCGCTAGCTACACGTTCAAGCCATCAAAACCACACTGCTTGTAAGTAAGAGACTGCTTCCCAGGGCTGATAACTACTTTACAATCCACCGAAACCTGCACATGGGAACCCAATTCACTTGTCAATTCCAGGACAGTGAGGAAAAAAAAATTGTTTTTTTTTCAAAAAAAAGGGAAGCAAGAGGTAAAATGAAATGCCTCAATTTCAATACAAAGTAGATGCATTAAAGCTCACACAACTGCAAGCATAAAAATGAATCTTCCAGACACACAGGCCATGTGACGACAATGTTTGGCATTAAGGTCGGCAGATATATATGTTTAAGAAAATGTCTCTTTTAAGGTACAAAGATTAACAACTTTTAAGGAATTAAGTTATGAAGAATATGATTTGCCTAAAGAGTTTCAATTTTCAAAACATGAGAAGTGTAGAGCAACATAAAAAGGGTAGATATGAAGTAATAATTTAAGCTGACAAACTGGCAGCTTCACAGCTAAGAAAATGATAAATGCTCATGGGTCCCAATAAAATGCTTTATAAGTTATTCTGCTTAATAGCTAAGAAACGATGGATAACTCTTCCCACCCCATTTCTTCTTATCCTGTTACCTACTTTGCAAACTTCAGAACAACAGATCTAACAAGAAGAAAAAAGAATGAAGTTCTGCCGTTCCAATCCTCTTTCCAAAACCTTAGAAATAAAGAATTAAGAAAAGAAAAAAATTTTCATGAAATACCCAAAATTTTTTGATAAGCTATTTTATGCTTGCCACTTATACTCTTGTTGGATTCCACAATGGATCATGTAGGTCCATGAATCACGTGGGGGAGAAACCAGAGAAGAAGATTTTTGGTCTTCCTCCCCTACAATGGCATGAGTTTGATGTTCTTCAGCCTGGACTGTACTGTTAATGTGGAGTTGGAGCATTGAAATGACTAAATTAGCATTAATGAATGAACATGAGGAAGAGTTTTATTAAAAGTATTTTAATAATTTCAATACTCAAACGTCACTTTTAATTTATCCGTTCTGAAACACACCTTTTTTTTTTTTCTTTTGAAATGGCGTTCACAATTTTTTCTGGTTTTTCTTTCTGGTTCCAATGTCAAACACCAAGCTACAATTCACACCTACTCCTGTCTCTATCCACTTCAAAATGTTTCAATACAGGGAAGAACCAGACAAAAAATGAAATTTCTCTTCCACCATAAAATTTCAAAAATCCGTACTCAACCAAAATTATCAATTATCAAATGGGCAAATGTAAGAGAGAGTGTTGTTAAAACGATGAAACATCATACATAAAAGAGTCCCAGGGTTCTCAAGAATGAGCATGGAATATTAACGGTTGAAAATGCCGTAATTAGAAAGCACTTCCTAGCAGGAATATACGAGAATTTACCAGGAAAAGCTAAAACAAAAAAGATAAGGAGAGAAATTAAGATAAAGGGAAGAGAATACGTAACCTGAACGCCGGGAGAATCGAAGTTCATGACCCGGATCTTAGCACCAACATCACCCAGGACCCGAAGCTCGACGCGGTCATTGAGAGAAGCATCCCTGATTAAAGCAGCCGCGTCCGCCTGCATCAAATTGACACGATCAACGGCGATGGTGGCGTCCACGTTTCTGACGCTGTGAGCCTCCTGGAAGAACCCGGGAACAGAAGCCTTCCCCAACGGAATCCCCCGGTACATGACTGTGAATCTCGACTCTCCATACTTGATCCCTACCTTATTGGGATTAACCGCAGTGAAAAGCATGCGGATGGTTAAAGACAAGGAGGCGGTGGTGGGGGTGCTGACAGCGGTGGCGGTGCCATCGACTGAGGTGGGGTTGGGTGCGGAGATGCCCACGTATTGAACCCCTACCTGTTGGAGATCGAACTGGGGCTTTTTGGGTTTGACGGCGAGGATGATTATGAGGACGACGGCGAGAACTAGTAAAGCTAGAAAGGAGAAGAGAAGGAAGAGGCAACAGCAACAACCCTTGAAAGAGGCTTTGGAGGAGGGGGAAGTTGGGTAGTATGTGCGGTGGTGTTGGGGAGGAGCAGGAGCAGGGGGTCTCCGGTGGTTGCCGTTGAGATTGTCGTTGGTGGCGTTGGTATTACGCATTTCTCCACCACTCGCTCTCCCTGAAAAGCAACTGAGGTTGTTTGAGGTAGAATTTCCTTGCTTAAAAAGGAGGGAGGAGTGAGGAGGGGATGGTGGGGGGAAGACTGAAGAGTGTGGCTCTGGGTGACTTTGCTTTAGAAATAAACAAGGGCGAAAGAAAGAGACGCAGGCACACGGATGGGTCTTGTCGCCAGACTCACCGCGCCGCCCCTTTTATCTTGGTTGCGTTTTTACAATTTGATTTCACCATGGTTAAACTTCTGAGTTTTAACCCTTCTTTTTAAAAAATAAAAATTTGTCTAAAATATCGGGCCTACCATAATAAAACCAATCAAATCTTATATAAATCGAAAATGATACCATTATAATATAATAAATAAATTTTTTTTAATTTTAATTACATTATAAAAAACAATCATATTTTATTTCTTATTTTA